ACACACACACACACAAACACACAAACACACTCCTTACATAGTTACATAGTTGTGATAGTAAACTTTAAGATTTAATCAGTTGTCATAGCAGTTCATAAGAAGTGATCTTGATGTATTTTGGGAGGAACTTATATAATGACAAATCTGGGTTTTTTAAAGAACTTTTCCTTCCACAAAAGCGGTAGAGAAACAAAAAAAAAATGAGAGAGAGAGAGAGAGAGAGAAGAGATAAACACCCCCATCAAGGTCTTCACTCACTATTCTGTCCCATCATCAGCCACCCAGGATCATGGGCCCAGCATGCACAGAAAGATTCCGGGTGGCTGACTCAGAACATTCCCTCAACATCACAGAGCACTATGTTATTGTGGTTGGACGGTGCCTGGTCCATATCTGAGGTTTTAAATAATTATCACTCCCCTATCAATCAGCAATCTTATTTTAAGATACTAAAATTGGGACCAGCAAGTGGAGTGGTGGTTAGGGATGCTGGATGCTCACATGTCCAACAGCAGTTCAAGTCCTGGACCTGGCAGTTTGCTTTCTCACTTTCCTTCTCTCTCTCTGTGTCTATCTTTGGTCAAATAAAAAATAATAATAAATAAAGTTAAATAAAATAATTATTTTTAAAAAGATACTAAAATCATTGTAGAACTATAAAGTTGTAGGGTAGGTACAGATGGAATTGAAAAGTTTGTTTGGAAACAGAGTTTCCATTTTTCATAAGTGCATTACCTTATTTTTTTCTAGAATAGTACATCCTCAGCACCTTCTATGCCTTGCATTCTATGCCATCACAATTCACTGCATTTCAAGTTTGTCAAAATAATTGTGGGAGTTACTGTCTCCAGTGGAAACAGAAGGATATGCTATTTTTAAAAAATTAATGATAAGAGTGCATGTATGCACATGTGTGAGAGACAGACCCTCCACAGAGCTTGGTCATGCTTCCATCCTCTTCCAGTCCTCCAGCTACTGGGATCCTGGGCATGCATGTATGTATCTGACATGTTTTTAGGTGACCCAACCAGGGACTCAAACTGTAGTTGGCATCTGTTTTCTAGCTTTGATGCACATGCGTGAGAGACAGACCCTGAGCTTGGTCATGCTTCCATCCTCTTCCAGTCCTCCAGCCACTGGGATCCTGGGCATGCATGTATGTATCTGACATGTTTTTAGGTGACCCAACCAGGGACTCAAACTGTAGTTGGCATCTGTTTTCTAGCTTTGCAGTCTGTATGCTACTAGCTGGCCACAGGCTAAGCCAGGAAGATAGAATTTTACAAATGGGAATTTATGTCCATGTTTGTCCTAGCTCAAACTTTTCACAGGTAGGCAAAAAAATATACTGATTAAGAACTTAATCCTAAAGTCAGAATTGGTTTAATAGTCATCTTAGCCATTGAGTGGTGGCATGATCTTAGGCAAATTACTTATATCTCCGTGTTCTAGTGCCCTTGTCTAGGGATACTATTTTTTCAGAGGGATGTTCTAAATGTTTTAAATGCATATGAAGGTCTTATGAACTTGGCGTATAGTATACACGCAATATAGGTTAGTTTTTGCCATTATCTATTCCAAATGAGACAACATCAAGTTATATACAATGCAGACTGAATGGCAAATGGCAAACCTGCTAAACACATTATTGTATCAATAGCTTTGTTACTGCATTCTTACTATGTTCCTGGAATTGTGCTCAGATCTTAACAGGAATTATTTGATTCCAACATCTCAAAAACTTCAGTATTTTCTTATTTTACACACAAGGGAATTTAGGAACAAATCACTTAATTAACTTTTTCATGTCGGTACAATTAATGTAGAGTTCAACCCAGGCCTGTCTGATTTCAGAGTTCTTAACCCCCTTTCTCTACCAAAATAAGAAAAAGAAAAAGGCTTTAATGGGTCACAATGTTTGTTAAAGCATTATAAATTTTAAGCAATTATTAGCTCAACTTTTGATGAGTGAGTTTATTCAATAGGTAATCTATTTTCAGATTAAAATGTTCTTGTAATTCTGAAACTAAATAATAATAATAGAACATGATTTCACAGAACCATGCACTAGTCAGGAGGAAAGAAGCCTTCAGAGCACCTAATTTAGACTTCCATTATTATATCATTTAGGAAACACCTGGAATAGGTCACAATTTTGCCATAGAGGACATGGCTAGGAAAAGGCTGGGCAGGTTTTGCATATAACAGGAAAAAAAACCCAAATAACTTTTTAACTCTGCATTTTTTCTTTATATCTCTTTCTTATACTTTAAAGGTTAACAATAAACCTGTTTGCTTAGAAAAGGAAACTTAGGTCACTTGTTTTAGACAATAATCACAAGAATGCTACTAGTAGGACACAGATATGGCTTACTACCTGTTGACGATGCATATATAGTATTCTCAACTGGATTGGTCTGAGAAGTATTTCATGATGGGTAAAGTCTTTTTACAAGCAAAATGAGAAATAGTGATTGACTGTTTAAAAAATAATTGGAATAATAATAATGATTGGGAAAAACATTGAAAAGATATTGAATGATGAAGTGGGGAAATTAATATCTCTGTATTGACTGACAGGCAGGGCATTCCCTTTTGAAAAAGCAATGTAATACTCTGTAAAGTTATATGCAGTCCAATGTAATATAAAGAAGATTATGATGATAATAAAAATAAATAAAACAAAGAAACAAAGGAATGCTACTGAAGCCTGGCGGCGTGGTGTCCTCTGACCTATGGCAAAAACCAAAGGAGGCTGGAGGATTGCGGCATTGAGTCCATCTTTCTCTCCCTCTGTCTCTCTCAATGCGCAAGATTTTAACCAAAAAAAAAAAAAAAAAAAAAAAAAAAAAAGAAAGAAAGCAAACAAACAAGCAATTGAAACAGGGACCTGGGTCCCAGGCCAGAAATCTTAGATGGGAATGTTTGCTCAAGGGATATAATGTAACAGGTTAAAGTGGGAAAACTGTAATAATGTTATCATTGAGCTAGTTACTCAGTCCTTTAGATTGTTTCTAAATTTAGCTTAAAGAAAATATGTGTAGTTTCCCTTAATCTATTAATGTATATCACAAGTCTGAGTCAACAGATTCAATGTTGCCAAAAGAACAAAAACAGGAAAGGAAAGAAAAGGAAAGGAAAGGGGAAAGGAAAGGAAAGGAAAGGAAAGGAGCTTTTCATGTGAAAGGAAAAGGAGCACAGATCAATTCTAGGAAAATCATGAGGGTTAAGAGTGACAGTGAACTAGGTAACTTTATGTTATAGATAACAATTGATAAGCGAGAAGTGTAACGGTATAAAATGTGGGTATAAAACGTGCTGGGGGCGGTTGTGAGCTTGTTAGCTTTCTGCCACTCACTCTTCTCCAACACCGCTGAATAAACTGTTTCTCCCTCTGCTTTGCCTCTCCATTAGTCACACAAAGGGCTGCTGAATTTACGCTGGCAGCATCTGGACTTTTTGTATAGAAAACTTTTCAAGAAATTGTAACTAAATAATGTGTAATTACAATGATCAATTTTGTTGGCATGCCTCCTAAAAGGTATCACATGGGACCAGCAGTTAGCGTAATGGCTGTCGCTGTACTCCCATGTAGTCGACTGTGGTTCGAGTCCCGGACCTGGTGGCTTAAACTCACACCGGGTGCGTGTGCATGCGTGCCCAAGATCCCGAGAGGAGAATGGAGGAGAAGGGATTGTGGCATGGCCATCTCCCCTGGGGGATGATTTCTCGCTTTCTGTCTCTTTGTCTCTCTCTGTCTTTCTGGTGAGCGCACATGCCCTATAGCAAAAACCTCTCCAAAAAAAAAAAAAAAAAAAAAAAAAAAGAAAAGGTATCATACCCGTACATACTTGATAAGAGTACAAGTTACTATCATCTCATCATCAGCTGATGTACAGATGGGTTGGGTGTGACTGATGACCCTGCACAGAGAAATTTTTTTAAAAAAACCTTTGTTTAAAAATTGGAACCAGCGGATGTCATGTTTACATCGCTGGACTCCCACATGGCCGACCACAGTTTGTGTCTCATACCGGGCACTTATGCTTGCCTGCCCAAAATCCGAGAGGAGAATGGAGAAGGGGTTGCAGTGTGGCCATCCACCTGTGGGATGATTTGTTGCTTTTTGTCTCTGTGAGGAGAGCAAGTGCCCTATAGCAAAAATCATTAAAAAATAAAATACAATAGGGGCCAGCAGGTGGTATGGTAGTTAGGAGCACTGGACTCCCACATGGCCGACTGCAGTTCGAGTCCCAGACCCCACGGCTTGCTTTCTCCCTTTCCCTCTCTCTCACTCTGTCCCTTTCTGGTCAAATTAAAATAAACAAACAGATAAAGTTAAATAAAAAATAAGTTTTATTGTAAGAGAAAGAGAACACACACACACCTAACAGGGATGTAACACTGGGATACCCCCCTTCAGCCTCCAGATGGGAAACCGGAACCTTCCCATAAGGACACGGTCCCAGAGCATCGAGTTTTTTTTTTTAATTTAAATTTACTTATTTACATTCACCCATTGTACATCATTACAGCATACACAGAGCATCTAGTTTTACCACTGCACCACCGAGAGCTGAGGACATCTTTCTTCCAAACCATCTTCTGCAATTTCTTCCCCTTATTGTTCCAGTTATTACTTATTATTCCATAACAGACGTGTTCAGATGGTCTACACTGAACTCAGGGCCAAATGCAGTTCCCAAGGGCGAGACTTCCAATTAGAGACCCAGCGATGCCCTTAGCCCCGGCGAAGTCAGAGGGAAGGCTCCTCCCAGAGCAGCGAGGGGAAGGGGCGCGGTCCTAGAGCAGCGAGGGGCGGGCCCCTTAGGCTTGCTTCCTATTGGGTCGCGCAGGTCCGTTTTGCGCATGTGCAGCCGGTTTCAAACTTTGGAGCGCGCCGGTCGCCCATCTTCGTTGAAGGCGGAGCCAATGGGCGGGAGCGCCGGAAGTGCGCATGTAGCGGTTCACGGCTCCCCGGCCCCCCCTCTCCTGCCTTCCGTGTCGGCCGCCTCGCCGGACAGAGCCCTCTGGCTCTGTCCACGCTCTGCCTCCTAGAGTAGTGGCCCTTGTGGGTTTCCACTTCGAAACCGTCGACCCGCAGAGCGGGTCAGGGACATGGCTACGTCGGGTCTGGTAAGTGCGGGCCTCGGCTCCTGCTGGAGATCCGAAAAGCGCTGTCGTTGGCCTCCTCTCCTGAGGCTGCCGAGAACGGAACGTTGGGTCGGTGCTGCGGCTTCTCGGGGAGTGTAATAGAGAAGTCGCACGAATGTTTGAAATCAGGCATGATCGTTTGTCGATAGCTAGAATTGATTTACTTTCATGGTTTCCTCAGGGCATCTGGTCGTGATATAGGCCGCCACTGCGTCTTTCTCGGCAGAGAATTGCCATGTCTACCTTTTAGCCTCGCTCTAGTTCCTAGTGTCTAAATACTTTTCTGCTCATAGAATTAATGAAACGGCACTTTGAGGAAGCAGATTCTTGACTGTTCAATAAATTTGTATCGAAGTAATCTGGCGTTCTTGTCAAAATGTTGAGCCTTGTTTGCAGTTTTTTGAGCATTATTTCTAGGGCATCTGTAAATGAGAAAGTGTTATGACAGGCGGATAATTAAAAGGTGAAAGCTATGGATGCCAAACGGGGGTGGGTACCCTTGTTTTCATGTTTTTCAACTTCCTCTGCACTGACTTTCGAACCTCACATAGTTATATAATAAGGCAAGAGATAGGGATCATCTCCTGTTTTAGAATTGTATTTTCTAATTTGTCTCCCTTTTTAAGAAAATCTAAAGCATTGATGATTTCCAATTCTGTAAGGTTATATGTATACATATGCTTATACACATTAAAGACAAACAGGCAAGGATAGTGTAGTGTATGTTTTATACTTTGAGAACATACAGGAATCTTCGAAGATAAACGGGAATGTGTACTTTGAAAATATATGGATTCACAATTTTTTATACCGAAGTACACTTGGACTTAAATTTCATTTTTCCATGAGTTTTTCGAAGTTATCTTCATATGTTGTTTATGTTATATGTAATCAGGAAAAAGCCATAAAACCATTCTCATTGGGGGAAAAGAAAGATTATTTACCAAATGTCTGCAGTTCTTTTTTCAAACGCCTATAATAATCTTAAAACTGTTTTGAGCCTTTCAATTCTCCTGACTTTGGGTAATACATTTAAAAGACAAGGGGAGAGAAGAGTTGTATTTTCAGTCATTCTTGCTCTTCAGTGGTTCTCCAGTGGGCAATTTTACATAGCAGTAGATATTTGGTGATGATGTCTGGAGAAAGTTATGGGTTTCCCTAGTCAGTGGAAATATGGGTTGGGTGAGAGAATGCTCCTGGTTACCGGGTGGGTAGAGGCTGAGATGCTGCTAAGACAGTGCATGGGCAGGGACCTACAACAAAGAATTAATCCAGCCCAAAATGTCAGTAGGTGGTAGTGGTGGTGGTGGTTTTTTGTTTTTGTTTTTGATAAACATAATCTCATGAATGAAAGAAACAAATTGAAATCCACTGGAGAATAAATTTTGTTTTATGAGTGTGTATTTATTTTGAATTTTAATTTAGAATTAAGGAAACTTGTTTGTCTTGTTTTACTACCTGTTTCAACACTTGGTGTCATAGCAGGTGCTCAATTAATATTTGTTGGCCAAATGAACTGCCTTGACCTTAAACATTTTCTATTTCACTTGGTGTCATAGTAGGTACTCAAGGTAATATTTGTCGGATAAATGAGCTATCTTGACCTTAAATATTTTCAACCTAAAAGAGACACAGAGTACTTTACAGGTGTTATAAAAGTTTTAAAGACATTTCTATGTGCCAATTTGATGGCTCTTTCAAGTTATAGTGTGAAATTAGAAGAGTGACTTTACATTAGGCCTTAGAATGAAAAGTATTGGGTCACTGGAAAAGTCATGATGCATTTGTGCTTAGAAACAGTAAAATTTGTTGTGACTTTTTCAGTGACCCACTAGAGTAGTTAACTGACATTCTTGGAGCTGAATATTATGTCAGTGTTTCACAATGCTGAATACTGGACAGAGACTAACTTGAATTAAATTTCCATCAAATGAAGTATGATTAAACAGACTTGTTAGATATCTCAGTTCCTTATTTTGCCAACTATAAAATAGATTCCATTTCTTGCTGGCATTTCATAAAGATAATAGGCTCTTACCTTCTTTAAAGAAAGATATCTTTTAGGGCCAGTCCTGCGGCCTGGTGGTTAAGGGAGCAGGATCCTACATGATTGACCATCTATATTGAATCGTGACCTTGGTGGCTTGAAAAACCACGCAGCTTGGAAAAAACATGCGGGTGTGTGTGCGCATGCCTCAGATCCTGACAGGTTCAAGATATTGTAAAGAAGAGATTGCACATGACCATGTCCCATTAGGGGGTGCTTTCTTCCTCTCTCTCTCTCTCTGTCTTTCTCTCTGGTGAGCATTCACCCTTCTAGCAAATAAAAAAAAAAGAGACATTTTTTATCTCAAATTTTATTATTTGCTTGGCATATCTTTTTCATGTTGATGTACTCTCTGGTGAGCATACGCCCTTCTAGCAAATAAAAAAAAAAAGAGACATTTTTTATCTCAAATTTTATTATTTGCTTGGCATATCTTTTTCATGTTGATGTAGCATACAGCGCACCAGGCATAACTTTGGGAAAAATATAAATTAGCTTAAGACAAAATCCTTGGTCTCAAGTTTTTTAAAATCTAAGAAATTTCTTTTCCTTTCCTAAATAATTCAGTCCAAAAGCCATTAGGTGGGGTCAAGCTATGTAGGTGTCCCACTGGGTAAAGAACATCAAGTGGTCCAGAGCCAGCTGTGTAGGAGGACAAGTGGAGTTAGGAGGGTGGCCCAGCTCAGGATGACAGAACACAAATGTGGTGAACATGTTCATTTGTGTGGAGAACAGCTTATGTGGGACCATGTTCAGGTCCCAGACCCAGCAGCTTGAAAATCGTGCCGGCTGTTATGTGCCCAAAATCCCCAGAGGAGAATGGAGGAGAAGGGATTGTGAAATGACCATTCCCTCCAGGGGGTGATCTTTCACTTTACCTCCCGTTATCTCTCTGGTGGGCACATGAGCCCAACAGAAAAAAAAAAAAAAAAAACTCCAAAAAAACAC